CCCAGATTTATTATCTTACATTTTTTCAAATCAAATTACGTTTCCTCTTTCTCTTTCTAACCGCTCTCCATCTCCTCTGCATTATTTCTTCTGTCTCTGTGGTCTCAACTACACAGTTTAGTGGTATCTCTAGATTTCATCTCACTCCCATGTCAAATCTGACATGAGTTGGCAATGAAGAAAAGGAAGCAGTCTAGGACTTCCTTTGCAAATGCCTCAATTCCCACTTTAGAAAAGTAATGCTGCATCTGTACACAAGCCTGGAAAAAGCACAGTGCCAAAGGCCAGCCCTTCAGGGAGTAGTTGTCAGCAGTCCACGCAAAAGATTTCAAAGACTGGCTGAGAAGTAAAGACTTAGTCACAAATGCCTCTTCCCAGAAAATAACTGTCAGTAAGTGGTGGGACAAAGGAAGGGGCAGATCACTAATGACATAGTTATACATTGGGCTGACTTCCACAAGGTGTTAGTTGGCAACAATCAGGTGGCTTACATGTGAGCTGGCAGAGCAATATTTTTCCTTTGGATTTTTTTTTTTGTTTCATTTCAGCAGTTATTCTAGCACCATATATCACTACAGAAGAAAAAATATATTTTTCCCCAGTATATCAGAATGCAAAAGTTTATTTGCACTACCACAGAATGAAAAGTTGGCAAACAATTATAAAGATGGATTATTTGTGTGTAGGCAAATGTAGTAGCTCTATTTATCTTTCATAACTCTGCTGGAGACTGATAGTAAAGAGATTTTCCTATTGCAAACCATTTGCTTTAAAGTCAGTGGGCCAAGTTCCCTAAATGACACAGACTTCTAGTTCTGCTGTTATAATCAAGCTTGGCAATATTTCTGTATATTACACGAAGGGCCACACAGGAAATACTCCTTGGAGGGACTTCAGAGCGTGTATTGCACACACATTTCCACATCATGCTGCAGCCCCCACAACATGGTGAGAGGTGAGGGGGACAGTAAAAGAGGATCTCAAGGAGTCAGGAAAGGGACTGCCACCAGCCTCCTCTTTGTAGACTCCCTCCACATCTGAAGCCTGTACTGAGCTGCAGTATCTCCTTGTGAAATTCCTCCTTGCCCTGGCCAAGCTGGCCATCCACACCATGAAACTGGTAGGACAAGGTGCCTGCAGATTGTGGGGCCTCTAATCAGTCCTCTTCCCCACTCATGTGTCTGGGCAGAGCATCATGCAGCTCCTGGGACACCGTCTGGGCATGGTAGGTGATCTGCTCCATGTCCCTCCTTGCCTTCCTATACACCCATTTTTGAGCCTTGCAACCCTCACACTTCTCCCCCTTTTTCAACCTGGGGGGTTGGTTGTTTTCCTCTGCATTTTTTGCTTTTTCTTCTAGGCCTTTGCCTTCCCCGGAGAGCTGGAATATTCTGCTAGAGCCCATCACTGGCTAAAAGGAGAACGACAAAAGCAGTAGCCATGCAGGCTTGCCATTGATAAAGAACAGAGGGAGTTTGTACTTCTCCCTTATCAAATCACACAAAGCAACATGCCTCTTGACTCTCATCCTCTATTCACACTGCAGGGCAGAATTCAAGAATCAGAACACTGAGAGAAGCAGAAATTTGAAGAAAAAGACAAAGGAGAATTTGTAACAGTATTTCATTGGCCTGCAATGTAAGCATTTTTTGGGCATACTAAGCGTGCTGTCCAGTAACGAAAGACAGCAATAATAGTAATTACTATTATTATTTTCACATCTTGGCCCTACCCCAAAGTTACATAGCTCCAATGATTTTGATGTGTTTTCTTCCCAGATCTAAAGCTTTTATAGTTGAACATTGTTATCACGGAGCATCTAAGAAACAGAAACTTGTAGCAGTACTGATGCTCCAAAAAGCAGATCCTGAGCTTACTTGTTACCTACATAACACAATGCCTTTCACTCTACATGAAACCCTGTTTGCTTTTAGATTTAAATAGGGCCTTCATACTAAGTTATTGAAAAAACAATTGTCTTACACTTGCCGTGGCCATAGTTCTCCCCATTACCACAGTTATGGGCATTGAGATGCTCAGAAAAGAAGGCCATGGATTTCAGAGGAGATTTAGGTGACTATTTCTGTGGACTACTTCCTAGAATCACTGCTGCTATGGTGAAAACATGTAGACAGAACTTAACGCTGAGCAGTGAACTTCCATCATGGTGCCAAATATAGAGAAGCAGTTCCTTGATTGATCTTGTTTTTGATTTCATTTGTTAGGCTGTCAACTTTCAAATAAAGGGAGGGAAATACAAACAAAAAGCTCAATTTCATCTCCATGTTATGCTGCTGCATACTGCTGATACTGTTGTATTGCTGTATTTGTGATCTGCCACTCTAACCTCAATGCTTTAATGGATTACTACAGAATAATATATCGCATCTGGCTTCTCTTGCCTCAAAAACATGAAGAGTACTGTACATATAATCATTTTAAGATGTGAAAGTTTTAAAAAATGAGGGACCTAAGGCAATATTTTTGTAACAAGAGTATGTGTATTCATGTATCAAAGGAAGGTAGAATTCGCAAGGCAGAATATTTAGGCTACACAGCCTCCATTGGTAGTGTCAAATAATGTATAGCTATAGGCCTAGTAGAGTTCTGGAAGCAAATGTTTGGAGCTAAGCAACATTTGCCATTTAATATTCTTGGTTTAAATCTAATCTGAGATCAGAAACAATCATGAAGGAGGACGTCTTTAAAACTGTGTGATCTTACAGCAGCCTAAACACTAAAATGAGCTCAACAGAATAGACGGAACATTTTCTTTGGGAGCACACCTGAGCACCTCATTCAGTGCATCGAGGGAAAGA